GTTCGTGTCTGGGGCCGCAGCTGCGCCGGGAAGCTGTTCTGTTCCCCGTCGGCACCAGCGGAACCAAAGCATGGGCACCCTCGGGTGCTGCGGCGCCGCTCCAGCCGGAGCAGCGTGCTGAGCGGGGCTGGGGAGCGGGCGGAGGTCTTTAAATTGCCCCAGCTCGTTACTGGTTAAACCGTGTTTATGAAATATTTGGCCCAGTCGGCTGGGCCTATGGACTGGTGACATCTAAGCGTGGGTGCAGCAGGCTTGGCCTTCGGGTTGCTGCCACTGGAAACATCCCCTGGAAATGAAAACCTGAAGCCCATCAAAAAAAGTATTTTATGCTGGTAATAAAACTAACAAAAGCAGCAAGCTCTTGTGTCTAGAACGGTTGTTTCAAAGCTCCTCTTTTGTGTGGCTGTGATCCTGAGTCCCTTCCTGAACAGCTGCAGTGTATTTAGTGTTTGCTTTAAACTAAAAATAATTAATGAATCAAAGCAGATTTCTAGGTACGGTTTGTGTGCTTGTACTTTTTTTCCAGCATTGCCTATAATGAGTAAGGAAGGATATGGTTTTTGTGTATGCTTCCACTTGGCTGTCATTATTTCTAACTATTGAACAAAATTATTTCTAAATATTGAACAAAATTATTTCTAAATATTGAACAAAACTCAATGATCAGAAGTGTATCAGAGCAGAAACTATTCAAATTCCTAACGTTGGGAATTATTTCAAAGCTGATGATAATTCTGCTACTTTGTATTCAAGACTGTTAAACATTCTAAAATGTTCAGACCTCCTAAACTTCAATTTAAGGATGTTCTTAAAAGCTAGTATACTACAGTAAGGTCCCTTTTATTAATAGTGTTGCCATTGTCCTTTTGCAGCGCCGAGGTCGTTCAGGAAGGAGAAACTTCACAGTATTCCGAAATACAAAACTGATTCCCATGGAAACATCCTCATCCTCTGATGACAGTTGTGACAGTTTTGGTTCTGATAATTTTGCAAACACAGTAAGTACAGTACAAGAACAAATACAACTGAATGTACAGTGCTAGTAAAGCTTGCAAAAATGTAAAGCTAGTGAATGTTTTGTGCATGACTAACACTGCTTGCTCTTCTTATGCTTTTGTATAGTAGTTATAAATCTATGCTATATGCTGTAATTTCATTTCACTCTTCACTTGTGCTTCTAGGTGGTAATTGTTGGAAACAGATTAGCTATTTATTCTAGCCTTTGAAATGTCACCTAACCCAACATGCCTGATAATTTGCAACTGCGGTTCTGAAACCCCTTGTTAATGCCTTAACTATTTTTTTTCCTTATTAAAAAAGCTATTTGCTTATACTGCACTTGTAAATGTGAGTAATTTTTTGTACAACTTCAGTTAAAGAATATTTTATTCCTCATAGAAATGCAAGTTTAGGTCGGATATTAGAGGAGAACTGGCAAAGATTTTTCACGAAGCCTCTGATGATGAATCCTTCTGTGGCTTTTCAGAAAATGAGATTCAAGGTGCATTGGTAAGACAGTTGATTCTAGTTTGCAATTTTAAATTTAAATTCTTACACATGATTAATTGAAAAATATTGGCAACTTCAGCTCGAAAGTCAAATGTTGTCAGAAAGAAGCATGATTTTATTTAATTTAATGTACAGTCTAAGTACCCATAGTTTCATTTTCTTTTTGTCTCCATAAAAAGCTCTCAAGCTCCTGAGTTTTGCAAGTTCAGAATAAAATCTGCTGTAGGGATTTTGAAGTATAATACCTCTTAAAACTATCCTTGCTGGTTGTTGCTCTCTTAGACTCTAACACTTCTGATTTACTCAGTATGAATTGTTGTGGTAGCCCATGGATTTGAGCAAACCTGAGGAAAATTTCTGTGTATATTGACATGCAGTCAGACCCGCACTCTGACAGTGTAACAGTAAGAAGCTGTACTTCTTTAGAGGTAGAGAAATAGTGATAGATGGTGAAATCTGCCTTCCTGCTTTTCCTTGGCATCAGTGCAAGAGCAGTTTTATTGCTTAAAAAGACCAACAGTTGGTATTTAGTAGAGAAGACAGAAGTAAAACCACGTTTGGCATAAAATAGATTCGTTGTAACTTCAGAGCATGCTGAGGAATGGCTAGAAAAGAATAATGTCTGATTGGAAGAGAACGTGCCTGAGTTAAATAATACACAACAGTAAAGAGAGTTAAGTAGGAGACAAACTGGAATAAATATGTAAGAAAAAGAACTATGTACCTGGTTTAATAAAAACCCTGTGCGAGTGAAGATTGCCATTTGAGACTGATGGTCTACGCATATGAAGCGGGAAGCCAGTTGTTACCTATGACTAAAATAAGACTATCTTACGGAGTCTAAACCTAAAAGACTCTTGTGGTTTAGCCTGGCGGGCAGCTAAATGCCACACAGCCACTCACTCACCCTCCCCCACCCCCCAGGGGATGAGGAAGAGAATTAAAGGGGAAAGAGAAGATCTGTGAGTTGAGATAAGAACAATTTAATAATAATATATGAATATATATGTGTGTAATGATAGTACTATATGCAAACAAGTGGTGCACAGTATAATTGCTCACCACCTGACGGCTAAGGCCTGTCCCATCCTGGTTAATGATCCTGAAACAGAAAAGTCCTGACACTGCAATCTCGTATGAGAGAGAGGCCGAGAGAGAGAGATATCTCCAAGAGTGAGAGCCCCCAGAAGAGCAAAAGCCCTTCTTTCTGGTCAAGCCTTATCTTTATACTGGCCATGACATTGCGTGATATGGAATACATCATTGACCAATTTAGCCCTCCATCCTAAGTCAAAGTTCAAATCATAAGGGGAGTTGTGGGCCCTTTGTCCCGGCCATGCTCCCCCCAGCCTGTTGTGCTCCTGCACACTGGCAAGAACACGGGAAGCTGAAAAGTCCTTGAGGTCTCAGTGCCAATATAACCATCAGTGCGCTATCAGCATTCTTCTTGTAATGAGTCCCAGACTAAAACCAAAACACAGAGCTCTTCTAACTGCTAAAAAGAACTAACTCTGTCCTACTCGAAACCAGGACAAAGCCAAAGCGTGTTGTAAAATAGGCTTTTAGCTGAAGAAATTAATTTCTGCCCTCGCTGAACCTTGGGCTCTTGCAGAAGTTGTAAGCAAGGCATCAGAATTCAAAGATCAGAAAATATTGGGATTTTATTCTTAATTATTTCATTGACTGGCTGTAGAAGGAAGTTTTCACTTGATATCGTTGATACTGAGATGACTGTTCTTGACAGCTTACAAACTTGAGTTTGATCCTGTGCTGAGGACTGTGTAAGGGCTTTTTTTTACAGCCAAATACAGGATATTGCAAAATCAAGCCCTTTAAAGGCAATTTGCTTTCTCACACACACAAACTATCTTTACTATTGGGCTTGCAAGCGACGACTAAGACCGCTGCAGTTGAAACCAAGCTCCTTTTCCTGATGTGTTGTGGCAGTAGTGTGGTACTCTGAGAGGTTTTTTTATCCCCGCACTTTGCTCTCCTCCTGCCTCCTTCGCCTTGCTTTAGATTATGCTAGAGCACTAGGACTGGAGATGTAGACGTCTAGATTTCAGCCAGATAGCCTCTTTAGCTGCCTCCAGACAAAATACTGTTGAACAGTATTTAATTGCAGAGCAACTCATTTGGATTTGTGCTTGCTTTCTTGTTTGTTAACAGAAATTGGAATCAGATTCAGAGGAGAATGATACAAGTGCTGAAAGTGAGGTAGCTCAGAGAAGGCAGAAATGCCCTGTTCCTCTAAAAGTAGCCATGAAGTTTCCACTTCGAAGATCGGCGAGGAGGAAGGGTGAGATGGAACCTCTTCCTGAAAAGCTGATGCCTACTCCAGATTCAGACTCTGACTCTGAAGAAAAGGGTTCGATGTTTTTAGAAAAAAGAGCTTTGAACATAAAGGAAAACAAAGCAATGGCAAGTACTCATTGTCTCCCTGGGTGCTCTCTCTTCTTTCCCTCCTCTCCCTCTCCTTGACTCTTAGGGACCTCTTTGGTTGTTCAAATTAACTCTTAATGGGAATTATGTGACTGCATTAAGAGGAATTTACATTCCTCATATTTAAATCTGATACTTTCTGTTTGCTGGCATGTGAAAATCCATAGGCTAAGTACTTCAGTAAAAGTCCATAGGCTGCAAGCCTAAAGAATAGGGCTTCAACATAATAAGTTTGAGTGTTTTCGAATTACTTGCAGTCACTAGAACATAAATAAAACATAAAAGTAAAGTTGAAGAGTGACTGCATTTCGTATACGTAATTGTACTTCTAGCCATTGCTCTAATCTAATAGTCTGTAGTAGCACATAAACACCTTTTTAAAGTTCTGCTTCCTTTTTCTTTCCCTTGTTAGCTTGCAAAACTAATGGCTGAGTTGCAGAATGTTTCTGGTATCTTTGTTGGGAGAAAGTCCTTGCCAACTGACAGTCATGTAAGTATAAACTTAAATATATTTGCCTTCAGATTTCTGAAAGTCAAATTCTGACATTACAAAACAGGACTCACAATTAAAAAACTTAATAAACCATGTAAGTCAAAGTCCAGTTCAGAATTTTATTGCTTCCTAAAACAGGCATCCTCATTGTGCAGTTCTCTATTGATTTGTCACCGTATAAAGCAGAACAAATTAATTCATAAAGGTTAGGTGTCTCCACAGGCCAATAAAACTAAACAAGGTGCTGTGTAAATATGTATTTATGCAAAGGCTGGAGATAAGGGGAGCGGCTCAGACTTTGAAGCTCAAGCCTGAATATTCTGCAAGTTTGGAGCCGCGGAGAAAAACCTGACGTTTGGCTTAAGTCCTTAAAGAAGGTTGGGTTGTGAATTGGCAGTGTAATGAATTTCACTGCTAATTTACCTGTAAGCTGCGTGAAGATGGCAACAACATTAAAAGTTGCAACTCCTCGTATATGTGGGTTGTGCTGCTGGGGAATGGCAGAGTTATTGTATCTCATAGCTGCATGGACACAAACATGCAGACTGTTTCTCTGCAGCTAGCAGAATGCCTAAGACGAATTTGTCTAGGATGTTTTTACCTTGTGTTTTCTGATTTGGGTCAGGGGGTAGCTAGTCTTCATCTTTGGGAGAGACAGAAGGAAGGCATGTCTTTTGGGAGAGGAATTTGTAGTAGGGACAGAAGCTGGTTTTGCCTGTTCTATTAGAGGTTTTTAAAACTTTTACCAGGGACAAAAGAGACTTCCAAGACGTTCATTGCCCAGAAGTGCTTTGAGGCGGAACCCAGACCGAAGTTCTCGGCCTTACACAAGATCGAGGTCCCTGATTGAAGGTCCTCCTACTCCTTTGCCAGAAGAGGATGATGATGACCGGTACATCTTAGTGAGAAGAAGAAAGATGTCCGATGAATACCTGGAGGTATGTTGAGATTCTAGTTCTCCTATTGCAGGTTGAGCACGAAGGTGATTTTATATCCATTCAAGAAAATACCAATTCATACAGAGTTGATCAAGATGACGAGTATGCCATGGCTTTGGAAGAAGTACAGAAAATAGCATGTTGTATGTGTTTTCTATTTCCCCTGCCTTATCCTTGAAAAATTGCTCCGTTTTGTACTCCAACGGGAATTAAGCCAGATCCAGTAGGATTTCTGGACACTGAAGGTGACAGATCAAATGAAGGTGCTAAGGCTGTATCCATATCATATGTCTTTGCAAATATCTATCATCTGTTGTTTAAATATATGATGGATATTGGAGACTCAGGCTTTTCTTTGAAGATTCCCACCTTGTTTATGTAGATTTTTTGCTGAAACTAATACTAAAAGTATTGTGTCTTCACTATTCAGCATGAAGCCTGCACTCCCAGGAGGGGTCACCGTGGTGCCATGGCTTTTCCACACATTGTGCGCCCAGTTGAGGAGATAACAGCGGAAGAGCTGAATAATGTTTGTGGATCTGCAAGAGAGAAAGTATATAACAGGGCCACGGTAAGTATGTTTCAACTTTAGTGAAAACGCATGGTTTGTGAAGTTGTGTTCTTGTTACTCTCTGCCTGTGATTTAGCATCAAATAGAGCAGACTCCCTCTCACTGAGAGGAAGGATGTGATTTTTGGGAGAAGTATGCCTGAGATCTGGAAAAATCGTCTCTTACCTGTCCCTGAATTTATAGAATGGCATTTACCAAGCCAGTTAGCTTACTTTCACCCTGGAACAGCTGTAGTACCTAGGTGATACTAGCTGAGGAAACCGATTAACAGACAATGAAGAAGCAATATGAAAACTGTCTTGGTTTGAACTTGCAAGGTGGCTTTCTCTTTCAGGATAAGTGCTGTTAGCTGTGAAAGTGGTTGCTTGTTAAATGCTCTATTCCCCTAACTAAAGAACCGTCTTTAACGCCTTGTTTCCTGAACTACTTTCCTTGTGTTCTAGGGATCCACCTGTCATCAGTGTCGCCAAAAAACCATAGACACCAAGACAAATTGTCGTAACCCTGACTGTGTAGGAGTACGGGGCCAATTCTGTGGGCCATGCCTCCGCAATAGGTATGGGGAAGATGTCAGAGCGGCGTTGCTGGATCCGGTGAGACAATTTTGAATATTGGCTTTGTTGTGCCTAACGAGCAGAGGAGTGCATTGGTTACTCATAGCAAAAGAGTTTTAGCAGGGGCACTGCTTACAATGCTGTAGTACATAACGCTATCCTGGTTTGATTCTATTGTGTAGAACTCATCTTAGTCACTACTATAGCTTTATTTGCAGGAGTAAACTACGAGAGCAGAGCAGCTGCCAAAAAATTCTTGTATTTGAGCATCAGAACAGTGTTCTCTTTTGCCTTGCGTTAGTGCTTAATACTCTATGGAAAGGAACTGTATCATGGACAAAGTGCTGCTGTTGTGGGCTGTGGAAGTGGTGCAGGAGTTGAGCAGAGCGGGATGCTTCCTGTGGTTATGTGCATGGCAGGCAAAGGAGAGTTCAATCCCTTACAGACTGAAGAATTTGTACTCTTGCACTGGTTTAGACAGCTTCTGTGGCACTGATGTTCACTGCAGAACTCAGTACAGAGCAGGGCCCTCTTTTAAGTTGCAGATGTGACTCATGTCTGGCGCTTCACTTCAGTTAAAAAGGCTTGTCTGTCTTTTGTCTAGACTTGGAGGTGCCCACCATGTCGTGGAATCTGCAACTGTAGCTTCTGCAGACAGCGCGATGGCCGATGTGCTACGGGTGTCCTGGTCTATCTGGCCAAGTACCATGGTTATGACAATGTTCATGCCTACTTGAAAAGGTAAGTATGCCCTTGTGTCAGTGGCATGGCTCTGCTCTAAGTGGGATAAACAGCTCAAAGCTCTCCACATCCCAGTTTGTCACGTAGATCTGGAGATCAGTCCATGTTGCCTTTAAAGTCTTATAGCAGTCTTCCAGTACCTCAAGGGGGCCTACAGGAAAGATGGGGAGAGGCTGTTCAGGAGGGCCAGTTGTGATAGGACAAGGGGTAACGGTTTTAAAATAGAGGGAGGTAGGTTCAGGTTGGATATTAGGAAAAAATTTTTACCATGAGAGTGGTAGAACACTGGAACAGGTTGCCCAGAGAGGTGGTGGATGCTCCATCCCTGGAGACGTTCAAGGACCTGAGCAACCTGATCTAGTTGGAGATATCCCTGTTCCTTGCAGGGGGGTTGGACTAGATGACCTTTGAAGGTCCCTTCCAGCCCTAACCATTCTATGATTCTATGATTCTATGATTTTGCTGTATGTTTTTTCTGACATGTTGGTTTTTACCCAAAACAAGCACTATATCCACTCTATCTTTTGGCTCTCAACTTCAGCTGTGTTTATTGTCAGGGCTTCCACTAATTTGTCTAAAGAGTTTCCAAACAGTGTTTTGCTGTAAGCTAACTCATGTTACTACTTGTCTTTCAGTCTGAAACAAGAACTTGGAATGGAAGACTGAAGCTCTCCACTGCCTTTAAATTACGTGCATTTTCACCAATGTTATTTACTGCCTACAGTGAATTGTTTAAGCAAATGAGATTACAAAGCCAGTGCCTGCCTTCTCTCTCCTTTTGGGTAAAAAAAAGGATAAAGAACTTTCACTTGTCTCAGTGCAAATCATACTTGGGAAAACTTTAATGAAGGTCTTTGCTCACAGGCGATTGTTTTCTTTTTAAACGACTTTGCAAATCAGATAGCATCAGTCCTTGCTTTCATGCTAATAACTTTTGTTTTTTTTTCCTGAAAGGAGAATCAGTCCTTGCTTTCATGCTAATAACTTTTGGGTTTTTTTCCTGAAAGGAGGTGGGGCTTTAAGCCATTAAAGTTGTATTCATGCAGTGATCTGTGCTGCAGGTTTATTTATGATTTAAAGTGGATCACAAAAAGATACAGATGTTCTGAAAATTCAGAGCACTGTTCCCCACAGAACCAAGTGGGGAAAGGTGCACGCTTAACTCCAGGCCAACTTCTGCTGCTGTAATACGGACTCTCATTGAACACAAAGTATCAGATAGAAGTCAAGAATTATCTAAAACAACAATGCATTCTTAAGTTCAAAAAGGAAGCCCTAAAAGTTGCAGGTGAGCAGTCTCCAAGCACTAATATTTGGTTTTCTAGAGTACTCAAAGTGCACGTCGGCCATTTTAAGGGAGATTCTCCAAGCGACTTAAAAAATGTAGCAGAAGCAGTTGGGGATGGCACTTTGTATTTTTGTCCAGATGAGAAGAGGCCGCTGCTGAGAGCTTGCCCAACAGCACTTGCATTGCCTAGTGATGACAGTGATGTGAACTTACTGGTATACATTGTGAAGTGACCACCACTCTCTCTAAACCAGAATGTACTCTTTCTTAAATCACTGGTTTTGTGGGTTCTCTTCTCCTTGCTTTTGCTGCAACTGCAGAACTGCTTCTTTGCAGAATCAGCACTGGTCCTGGGGAAGAGGGATGCCTCCAGACCAGGGCTTGATTAAGTAGAGGGGTAGTGGTTCATGTGACTGTTGGCCAACTACAAGTGGATGAAAGATGGTAATTTGTTGAATTTGGTTATCAGGGAAAGGGACAATGGCAAACAATCGCTGGAATCAGAAATTAGATTTTTTTTTTTTTACCTCTGAAAAAAATTAAAAAGCAAGGAATTTTTAAGCTACAGTCTGGTTTAAAGTGATTTATTCTTCCAGTTACATAGAGCAGCATAAACATAAATAGACAATGTTCTCAAGAGACATCCTGGTTGTAGTAATAGATGAGGAGGAATGATTGCTTCATCAAAAAGGCTTTTAAAAATAAATAAAAAGGGAGATGTAATGGGTTGCATACAATTTGTGAGCACTTACATATGTGGTTAGTGCTGTGGTCTCCTCCGTAACAGTCCAGCCATATTTCTGTATCTGCATCTGCATGATTGTAGAAGGATCTTTTCCGTGATGTTAACGAAGCACGAGTACAGCAAAAACAGAGCTAAGAATACTAGTGTGCTGTGTGGTTGGAGTCTTGTGTACTCAGTAGTGCAGAAAAGAAGGTGCCATGAAAATTGCATCTGCAGAGCCACAAAGTGTATAAATGCTCTTAGTTTGGTTATGGAAACTACTGTATAAGCTTTGTGTAAGGTTTAGAATGCAATATTATAAATAATGTACAGTTGAGGAGCAGAAGAATCGACTTGCTCTAGTTCTCAGCACTAGAACAAAACATGGGTTTAGACTTCTCTGCTTGCACAGTGTTTGCACTGTGCGTATACATAATGATCCACAGTTTATACCTTTCTGGGAATTACATCAGTATATGTGGGAGGGGAGAGGAATTTAGAAACAAAAGATATTTGTGTCTCAGACTTGCAGTTCTGTTTCATACATCATCTGTCCTATTGGAAATCTGTCCGCTCATTGTCTTTTTTTATGGTGTGAATAGCTGTGCAATCTGAAATAGAGTGCTCTACCCTCTAGGAACATTTTGTGAAGAAGGAACTCTAGAAATACATGTTCTGACAGATAAGAGGGATTTTATTTTATATTATTTTCCTTCTCCTAATTGCTGGGCTTGCCTTCTGATTGCTAGAGCGTGAAAGGACTGTGCTAAAAGTAAACCTTTGCGTCATATCACGGAAAGTGCTGTATTTAGATTTACTTGGATCTACAATGTTCTGTAAAAAGTTTTTTATTTTGAAAATAAAAATTTTCTGGTTTAGAATTTTTGCCTCTTAACTGTTCGTAAAAAGCCTGTTAGAGCTGTACTTAGATTTCACCACCTTTCGCGTAAACATTTGTTGCAAAGTCACTTCAGTTGCTCCCATCAAACTAGGGGGAGCACTGGGACTAGGACATCTTTCTCTCCCGAGGCCTGTGTCTCTGAGCCAGGCTTGCTCTGATATTCATGCTGCTTGGATTGAATTGTTTGGTACCTGGTGACTAACTTGTGATGATAGAATTATATGGGTGCTGAGTTCAGGCCACATACAGACTTTAGGCACGTGCCGTGTGCTTTACCATTTTGCTTTTTTTTTTTTTCTATGGTTTTGTTTTGTTTTTTAAACCTAGATACCTACGTCCTGAGCTGAGAAGGTTGAGGAGGATATTACCATTTTGGACACAAGTTGAAGTCAGGTGCCTGCCACTATTTATTTATTTATATTTTTCCAAACAGACTCTTAAGTAACTTCTCTTGGGAGCTCTGTGCTGGATCAGAGAATTACCTGGGGGGCCTTGATTACAGGCTGACAGTGCTGAAGACTATTTTTGATACTTGTGCCTTTGCATCGGGGTCTAGAGAGAGGAGTTACATGAGACTGTGGCAGAAGATTGCACAAAGCCGACCTGTAGCAAGGAGGGAAACGAGATCAAGCAGAGAGTGACTGAGCTGTCCCCAGATACTGTCTACTGGTAAAATCCTCCTGTTGTTACTCTCACCCAAAAGCTTTGTTTAGATGCATTACCTTTCACCACACTGCTGGTGATGTGAGAATAAATATGTATGTAATGGTGTAGTAAGCTAACGGCTTATGTGATGGTTTTGAGGTGTCCCAATACACCTTTTTCCTCAAGCCTCTGTATGACGGCTACTTAAGCACTGTTGATACTAACTTGACAAATAGTTAAAGAGCTCATGGTTTATATCTGCAGCAACTTACGAAACTTTATGAGGAAAAGATCCTAACTCTGTCACTTTTAAAAACAAAGGTGCATGGAAATAGAGTGTCACTGTTAAAGGAAGAACAGAAGAATGAAGCTCATGTGTGAGGTAGAATGACTTAATTTGTTATAGAAAAAGGCAATACGAGTCGATAGTCCCTCACTACTCTCAGCTTTAGGGCCAGGTGATTTTGTGCCTAGGTCTCATATAACTTCTATTTTTTTTTTTTTAACCTGGTATAATAATTTTAAACTGCTAGAAATAGAATACTGAAAAGACTAATAGGTAAATTATATTCTTAAATTCCTTGGAACTTTGTTCCCTGTGATGGGAGGTGGATGGGAAGGGCATTTGTGGCTATGTAATAATCTGAGAGAAGAGACTGCTGGAAGGATGAGTGACAGTTGCATTTTTTTTTTTTAATTTAAATATGTAAATAAAACCCCAAGCTTGCTTATGAGTAAACTTTTCATTACAGTGATGCAGTTTCTCCTGATGGAATTGGCTAAAACCTCCTTACTATCAGAAGATTCTCTTAGACCAGTATATATTAATATAGATGTTATTCAGTTCTTCCCTGTCTTGCTTGCTTTTTAAGGCAAATGTTGAAGCAGTAGGTCTCTTCAAATCTTGAGAGAAAGGATTTTATCTTCCTTACTTGTTAAGCAAACTTTTTTTTATTATATGTAAGTTACAAAAATAGCACTGAAGTGTTGCTCTGCAAGCTGCTGAAATAGCATATGCTGTACGTTCCAGAGCAACACACTCAGCCACTTAACCAGTTACATCGGTGTAGGGAGCTGCAATGGAAATTTTAAAAATAGATGTTAGCTTTGGAAACTACCCCCCTCTCCCTTCCTAGCCTCATGGGCTAATAAACCTTTATTTTGTCTACTGGAAACCTAAAAACATATTTTGAAAACATACTTTGAAGAGAAAAGCAAAGAGATGGTAACATAAAGTAGCACCATCGTTTGCTTGGTTAGGCTCACAGGATCAAAAGGGCAAAATGGTTGCATCTAGTCAGAGAATGGCTTTCAGTGTACCAGGGTGAGGGAACACAGCTGACTTTGAAACCTTATCTGTAATACACAACGTGCATCTGAAACATTTGGCAAGAGAGTCACCCACTGACCTCTGCTGGCATAAACCAGTTTGTTCTCACGGCTTTTTGCTAGTGCAGCTCCCGCATGGCTAATGGCATAAGCTAGCGTGGATATTTTGGAAACACTGTCGGCTAGTCTTTCATGTTCTTGGCCTCACAACTAAAACAAAGTGAGTAAAAAGATGCGACTTTCTCTGTTGAGTATAGTCTGGCCAGTCTGGGGTCTTAAACACCAGCACCCAAGTAATGCTGTGCTGTGTTATAGATATACATGAGTGTATGGGCTGCAAATGTTAAGAGAGAAGAGCATCACAGTTTCATGCTTGGGTCACATTCTTCTGCCAAATAATAAGCCTGACACTCCTAGATGAATGTTAATCCACAAACCCTTTGGGGTGGGGGTGGCAAATGGGAGGGGAATTATGTTTGAACCCCAAAATGTAATGATTAGCGATAGGAGTCCTGAAACTGGGAGGTGAGGGGGGAATTGGGAATCCTATTGTGACTGATATTTATAAGAAGTTGTGGATATTGAATTTGTATGAAAACATGTCTAGAGCCTAGAGCTACAGTCATATTAAACAAGATCTGCTTGCTGCTGTTTGGTACAGGCTTTCTTCCAGCTAGAATTGATCGAACTCTGGTTGCAAGGATGGCAGATAGTTCTGTTATGTGAAAAAAATAAACCAGAAGTCATGGTATGGTCAGGATGGGGTAAGAAGGCATTGTGTCTGTCTTTTTTATTAGTAGTACTTTAGTAGGGTTTGCGCTGACCACTTGAACTAGAAAAAAAATGGGTTGAACTGTAGATCCTGCTGCGTTGAGCCCTACTCATACAGTCTTTCCCCTGGAGTATGTCTGCAGGTAAAACTTATATCT